GAGGGTTTGATGGGTCTGACTCCTGGAGGGTTTGACGGGTCTGACTCCTGGAGGGGGTTTTACGGGTCTGACTCCTGGGGGTTTGATGGGTCTGAAATCCTGGAGGGTTTGATGGGTCTGACTCCTGGAGGTTTGAGGGTCTGACTCCTGGAGGGTTTGAGGGTCTGACCCTGGAGGGTTTTACGGGTCTGACTCCTGGAGGTTTGACGGGTCTGACTCCTGGGGGGTTTGATGGGTCTGACTCCTGGAGGGTTTGACGGGTCTGACTCCTGGAGGGTTTGACGGGTCTGACTCCTGGAGGGTTTGACGGGTCTGACTCCTGGAGGGTTTGAGGGCTGACTCCTGGAGGGTTTTTATGGGTTGACTCCCGGAGGGTTTGACGGGTCTGACCCTGGAGGGTTTGAGGGTCTGACCCTGGAGGGTTTGACGGGTCTGACTCCTTTGGGGGGTTTGACGGGTCTGACTCCTGGAGGTTTGATGGGTCCCGACTCCTGGAGGTTTGATGGGGCTGACTCCTGGAGGGTTTGACGGGTCCCGACTCCTGGAGGGTTTGACGGGTCTGACTCCTGGAGGGTTTGATGGGTCTGACCCCTGGAGGGTTTGATGGGTCTGACTCCTGGAGGGTTTGATGGGTCTGACTCCTGGAGGGTTTGATGGGTCTGACCCCTGGAGGGTTTGATGGTCTGACTCCGGGGTTGTGGCTGACTCCTGGATGGTTTGACGGTCTGCTCCCGGAGGGTTTGACGGGCCCGACTCCTGGAGGGTTGAGGGTCTGACTCCTGGAGGGTTTGATGGGTCTGACCCCTGGAGGGTTTGACGGGTCTGACTCCTGGAGGGTTTGACGGGTCTGACTCCTGGAGGGTTTGACGGGTCTGACTCCTGGAGGGTCTGACAGGTCTGACCCCTGGAGGGTTTGACGGGTCTGACTCCTGGAGGGTCTGACAGGTCTGACCCCTGGAGGGTTTGACGGGTCTGACCCCTGGAGGGTCTGACAGGTCTGACCCTGGAGGGTTTGAAAGGGTCTGACCCCTGGAGGGTTTGACGGTCTGACCCTTTGGGGGGTTTGACGGGTCTGACTCCTGGAGGGTTTGATTGGTCTGACTCCTGAGGTTGACGTCTGACCCTGGAGGGTTTGACGGTCTGACTCCTGGAGGGTTTGACGGGGCTGACCCCGGAGGGTTTGGGCGGGGCTGACCCCTGGAGGGTTGACGGTCTGCCCCTGGAGGGTTTTCGGGTCTAACTCCTGGAGGGTTTGACGGTCTGACTCCTGGAGGGTTTGAGGTCTGACTCCTGGAGGGTTTGAGGGTCTGACTCCTGGAGGGTTTGACGGGTCTGACCCCTGGGGGGTTTGACGGTGACCCGAGGTTTTTACGGTCTGACTCCTGGAGGGTTTGGGGGGTCTGGGCCCTTTGGGGGGTTTGAGGGTCTGAACTCCCGGAGGGTTTGACGGTCTGACCCTGGAGGGTTGACGGTCTGACCCCCGGAGGGTTTGACGGGGCTGACCCCTGGAGGGTTGACGGGTCTGACCCTGGAGGGTTTGAGGGTCTGACCCCTGGAGGGTTTGACGGGGCTGACCCCTGGAGGGTTTGACGGGTCTGAATCCTTGAGGGTTTGACGGGTCTGACCCCTGGAGGGTTTGACGGGGCTGACCCCTGGAGGGTTTGACGGGTCTGACCCTGGAGGGTTTGACGGGTCTGACCCCTGGAGGGTTTGACGGGTCTGACCCTGGAGGGTTTGACGGTCTGACCCTGGAGGGTTTGACGGGTCTGACTCCTGGAGGGTTTGACGGGTCTGACCCCTGGAGGTTTGACGGGTCTGACCCCCGGAGGGTTTGACGGGTCTGACCCTGGAGGGTTTGACGGGGCTGAACCTGGAGGGTTTGACGGGTCTGACCCCTGGAGGGTTTGACGGGTCTGACCCCTGGAGGGGTTTTACGGGTCTGACCCTGGAGGGTTTGACGGGTCCCGACCCCTGGAGGGTTTGACGGGTCCCGACCCCTGGAGGGTTTGACGGGTCTGACTCCTGGAGGGTTTGACGGGTCTGACCCCTGGAGGGTTTTTACGGTCTGACCTCTGGAGGGTTTGACGGGTCTGACCCCTGGAGGGTTTGACGGGTCTGACCCCTGGGAGGGTTTTTACGGGTCTGACCCTAGGTTTTTACGGGTCTGACCCCTGGAGGTTTTGACGGGTTTTGACCCCTGGAGGGTTTGACGGGTCTGACCCTGGAGGGTTTTTACGGTCTGAAACCCCCGGAGGGTTTGACGGGTTTTGACCCCTGGAGGGTTTGACGGGTCTGACCCCTGAGGGTTTGACGGGTCTGACCCCCGGGGGTTTGACGGGTCTGACCCCTGGAGGGTTTGACGGGTCTGACCCCTGGAGGGTTTGACGGGTCTGACCCCTGGAGGGTTTGACGGGTCTGACCCCTGGAGGGTTTGACGGGTCTGATCCCTGGAGGGTTTGACGGGTCTGACCCCTGGAGGGTTTGACGGGTCTGACTCCTGGAGGGTTTGACGGGTCTGACCCCTGGAGGGTTTGACGGGTCTGACCCTGGAGGGTTTGACGGGTCTGACCCCTGGAGGGTTTGACGGGTCTGACCCCTGGAGGGTTTTTACGGGTCTGACCCTGGAGGGTTTGACGGGGCTGAACCCTGGAGGGTTTGACGGGTCTGACCCTGGAGGGTTTGACGGGTCTGACCCCTGGAGGGTTTGACGGGTCCCGACCCCTGGAGGGTTTGACGGGTCTGACCCCTGGAGGGTTTGACGGGTCTGACCCCTGGAGGGTTTGACGGGTCTGACTCCTGGAGGGTTTGACGGGTCTGACTCCTGGAGGGGTTTGACGGTCTGACCCTGGGGGGTTTGACGGGTCTGACCCCTGGAGGGTTTGACGGGTCTGACCCCTGGAGGGTTTGACGGGTCTGACCCCTGGAGGGTTTGACGGGTCTGACCCCTGGAGGGTTTGACGGGTCCCGACCCCTGGAGGGTTTGGGCGGGGCTGACCCCCGGAGGGGTTTGACGGGTCTGACTCCTGGTGGTTTGACGGGTCTGACCCCTGGAGGGTTGAAAGGGGGCTGACCCCTGGAGGGTTTGGACGGGTCTGACCCCTGGAGGGTTTGACGGGTCTGACCCTGGAGGGTTTGACGGTCTGACTCCTGGAGGGTTTGACGGGTCTGACCCCTGAGGGTTTGGGCGGGTCTGACCCTGGAGGGTTTGACGGTCTGACCCCTGGAGGGTTTGAACGGGTCTGAACCCTGGAGGGTTTGACGGGTCTGACCCCTGGGGGTTTGCGGGTCTGACCCTGGAGGGTTTGACGGGTCTGACTCCTGGAGGGTTTGACGGGTCTGATTCCTGGAGGGTTTGACGGGTCTGACCCCTGAGGGTTTGACGGTCTGACCCTGGAGGGTTTGACGGGGCTGACCCTGGGGGGTTTGACGGGTCTGACTCCTGGGGGGTTTGCGGGTCTGACCTCCTGGAGGGTTTGACGGGTCTGACCCCTGGGGGGTTTGACGGGTCTGACCCTGGGGTTTGACGGGTCTGACCCCCCTGGAGGGTTTGACGGGTCTGACTCCTGGAGGGTTTGACGGTCTGACCCTGGAGGGTTGACGGGGCTGACCCTAGGGTGACGGTCTGACCCCTGGAGGGTTTGACGGGTCTGAAACCCCGGAGGGTTTTGACGGGTCTGACCCCTGGAGGGTTTTTACGGGTTTTGACCCTGGAGGGTTTTGGGCGGGTCTGACCCCTGGAGGGTTTACGGGTCTGACCCCTGGAGGGTTTGACGGGTCTGAAACCCCCCGGGGGGTTTGACGGGTCTGACTCCTGGGGTTTGACGGGTCTGACTCCTGGAGGGTTTTGACGGTCTGACCTGGAGGGTTTGACGGGGCTGACCCTGGAGGGTTTGACGGGTCTGACTCCTGGAGGGTTTGACGGGTCTGACCCCTGGAGGGTTTGACGGGTCTGACCCCTGGAGGGTTTGACGGGTCTGACCCCTGGAGGGTTTGACGGGTCTGACCCCTGGAGGGTTTGACGGGTCTGACTCCTGGAGGGTTTGACGGGTCTGACCCCTGGAGGGTTTGACGGGTCTGACCCCTGGAGGGTTTGACGGGTCTGAACCCTGGAGGGTTTGACGGGTCTGACCCCTGGAGGGTTTGACGGGTCTGACTCCTGGAGGGTTTGACGGGTCTGACCCTGGAGGGTTTGACGGGTCTGTCCCTGGAGGGTTTGAGGGGCTGACCCCTGGAGGGGTTTGACGGGTCTGAACCCTGGAGGGTTTTTACGGGGCTTGACCCCTGGAGGGTTTGACGGTTCTGACCCCTGAGGGTTTGAGGGTCTGACTCCTAGGGTTTGAGGGTTGACTCCGGAGGTTTGACGGTCTGACCCTCGAGGGGTTTGACGGGTCTGACCCTGGAGGGTTTACGGGTCTGACCCTGGAGTTTTGACGGGTCTGATCCTGGAGGGTTTGACGGTCGACTCCTGGAGGGTTGAGGGTCTGACTCCTGGAGGGTTTGACGGTCTGACTCCTGGAGGGTTTGACCGGGTCTGACTCCTGGAGGGTTTGACCGGGTCTGACTCCTGAGGGTTTTGACGGGTCTGACCCTGGAGGGTTTACGGGTCTGACTCCTGGAGGGTTGACGGGTCTGACCCCCTGAGGGTTTGGCGGGTCTGACTCCTGGAGGGTTTGACGGGTCTGACTCCTGGAGGGTTTGACGGGTCTGACTCCTGGAGGGTTTGACGGGTCTGACCCTGGAGGGTTTGACGGTTTTGACTCCTGGAGGGTTTGATGGGTCTGACCCCGGAGGGTTTGACGGGTCTTGCCCGGACGGGTTTACGGGTTACATATTTTTACGGTTGACCCACCTGTCCTTTGATGGTGACTCAGGGGTTTGAGGGTTGACTAGGTTGACGGGTCAAAGGAACAGTTAGTTATAATAATTTTAATGACAGTTTACAGTAAAAATTGAGGTACATAAGGTCAGTAAAATGTACAAACAACATTACAGAGGTAAAAATAATGGGTCCAGGGACTGTACATCAACATTACAGAGGTACATAATGGGTCCAGGGACTGTACATCAACATTACAGAGGTACATAATGGGTCCAGGGACTGTACATCAACATTACAGAGGTACATAAGGGCAGAGAACACTTCAGAGGACTGGTAACTGTACATCATTACAGAGGTACATAATGGGTCCAGGATGACATCAACATTACAGAGGTACATAATGGTCCAGGGACTGTACATAACATTTCAGAGGGACATAAAGGGTCCCGGGGCTGTACATCAACATTACAGAGGTACATAATGGGTCCAGGGACTGTACATCAACATTACAGAGGTACATAATGGGTCCAGGGACTGTACTTCAACATTACAGAGGTACATAATGGCTCCAGGGACTGTACCTCAACATTACAGAGGTACATAATGGGTCCAGGGACTGTACATCAACATTACAGAGGTACATAATGGCTCCAGGGACTGTACTTAAACATTACAGAGGTACATAATGGGTCCAGGGACTGTACATCAACATTGCAGAGGTACATAATGGGTCCAGGGACTGTACTTCAACATTACAGAGGTACATAATGGGTCCAGGGACTGTACTTCAACATTACAGAGGTACATAATGGGTCCAGGGACTGTACTTCAACATTACAGAGGTACATAATGGGTCCAGGGATTGGACCGCAAAGTTTTGATAGCTGAATAAGTTGCAGTGGTAATGAACAAGTTACAGAGGTAATGAACAAGTTACAGTGGTAATGAACAAATTACAGTGGTAATGAACAAGTTACAGTGGTAATGAACAAGTTACAGTGGTAATGAACAAGTTACAGTGGTAATGAACAAGTTACAGTGGTAATGAACAAGTTACAGTGGTAATGAACAAGTTACAGTGGTAATGAACAAGTTACAGTGGTAATGAACAAGTTACAGTGGTAATGAAGTATTTGAATAATAAAATGGTATAAAATACCGACAGGTTGTTAGGTAAGACACATATGCAACAGTAAGGTATCTTTATTTGGAAACGTTTCGCCTACACAGTAGGCTTCTTCAGTCGAGTACAGAAAAGTTGATAGAAGCAGAAGAGACTTGAAGACGATGTAATCAGTCCATCACCCTTAAAGTTTTGAGGTGGTCAGTCCCTCAGTCTGGAGAAGAGTATTGTTCCATTGTGTGGAATAATATCCACACTATGGAACAATGCTCTTCTCCAGACTGAGGGACTGACCACCTCAAAACTTTAAGGGTGATGGACTGATTACATCGTCTTCAAGTCTCTTCTGCTTCTATCAACTTTTCTGTACTCGACTGAAGAAGCCTACTGTGTAGGCGAAACGTTTCGAAATAAAGATACCTAACTGTTGCATATGTGTCTTACCTAAACAATGAAGTATTTACACGAGAGGATTTTGGTAATGGTCCAGTACACAAATAATCCGGACATGGGAGAGTGAAACTTATTACGACGTTTCGGTCCTACTTGGACAATTAACTAGCCACGCTTGTTAATAGTTAATAGTCCAAGTCGGACCGAAACGTCGTCATAAGCTCCTCTCTCCTATGTGCGAGTTATTTGTGTATTGTTCCAGTCACTGTATTGTGCCTTTTTGTTCTTCGTAATGGCCCATCTTGTAGCAAATTCAATATCACGTAAGATATGGTCTTTTATCAACTGGCGTCTTCGTTTAATTTCTTAATTCACCTCTGAAGACCATGTGAATGGGATGTTACAGCCTCACACCATGACGTCAGGACGACCACATCAAGAATTTAGCTTCGGTCGTCGTCGGAGCTTTGTGTCTTGGTGGTAAACTTGGTCTTGGAGTGAGACTTGGCTTGCTGGTGATCCCCAGCAATAATGATGGTCTTGTATTGGGAATGTTATGATCTCTTTACTGACGTCAGGACGACCGCATCAAGAATTTAGCTTCGGTCGTCGTCGGAGCTTTGTGTCTTGGTGGTAAACTTGGTCTTGGAGTGAGACTTGGCTTGCTGGTGATCCCCAGCAATAATGATGGTCTTGTATTGGGATGTTATGATCTCTTTACTGACGTCAGGACGACCGCATCAAGAATTTAGCTTCGGTCGTCGTCGGAGCTTTGTGTCTTGGTAAACTTGGTCTTGGAGTGAGACTTGGCTTGCTGGTGATCCCCAGCAATAATGACGGTCTGTATTGTTTTAGCAGGAAGGTGCAAAGTGGCGTAGCCTTCACTTGCAACATCCACACTCAAGTCTAGCTCTGCCTCACCTCTGGCAACACAAAACATCTTACGTTGAAAATACTATATAATACCGATACGTTGATGATCAAGATACAAGTGCAACAGTTGGGTATGTTTTTGTTGTGGAAACGTATCGCCTACACAGTAGATTCTTCAGTCAAATACAGAGGGAACAGTGTAGTAGTGAAACGAATATGACGTAATGAACCCGTCAACCTTGGAAAAATAGGATTTGAGGTGGTCAGTCCCTTAGCCTGGAAAAGACCAGCTAAGGGACTGACCACCTCAAATATTGATTACATCATTTCACTTCTACACCTGCTGTATCTGTATTTAACTGAAGAAGTTTACAGTGTATACCTTGAATATACCCAACTGTTGCACACGTGTCTTAATCACAAAACATCATATGCAATAAGATCACAGTAAACAGGTGTTATCATAATATGCAAAATAACCAGTGAAAAAAATAGTGAAATTCTAAGCGCTTTCATGATTTCTCACATTATCAAGGAATAGTAAAAACATCACATACGATGTGAAACAATCGTGTTGCAATAAACATCATCAGAAGCTTGCAGTGTTGCAGAAAAAGGAGTGTTGCAAGCAAATACGTTCAGAGGAACGTATTTGCTTGGAGTTCCTCCTTTTTCACCTTGTCGGTTCTCTGAACCATTTATCTAACAATACAAAGAACCTGTTGAAAATGTTATAAAATACAGACAACTTTAAGATTAAGACACATGTACAACGACTGGGTATCTTTATTGATGGTCTGGAACGATACCGTTCCAGACCATGAAGCTGAACTCTTCTCCAGGCTGAGGGACTGACCACCTCAAATACTTTTTCTTTAAGGTTGATGGACTAATTACATCATCTTTATTTCATTACTACTGCTGCCTCTGTATTTGACTGAAGAAGCCTGCTGTGAGGGCGAAATGTTTCACCTATAAAGATACCCAACTGCTGCACATGTGTCTTAATTTTAAATACAAAGAATCTTACGTGTTAAGAAGAACGATCACGATGGGTCCATCAGGTCGTAGGAAGGCAGCAGTGTGGACCTGGTGTGAGTCCAGCTCCTCAATACTGGAGGGCAGCATCCTAGACCCAGCTACAACAAACTTACTAAAGTGACCCATCACATAGAACATAGGTTGTTTGTAGAACTCGTCAGCTTCCTGCAATAGAAACATAAGAACATGAGCAAGGAGGAACACTGCAGCAGGTCTACTGGCCCATTCTAGGCAAATCCTTCTCAAAAACAAACCTTCACATGTTGACATTTCTATGGTGTATAAAAACATACAAAGTTGGATGAATCATTTAAGGCCGGAATGGACCTGTTGTTAACACACTGGCCTGCGAGATTTAAGGCTTCCTGACCAATAGTTCAAACCATCACCCGTTCTGTGGCTTTTCACTGTTGGTAAGGTGTGAAATACCTAGACTGGCGAGGCTGTTAAGTTATAAAACTGTAACTATTTATGAAAAATAAGACGTGTACTTAATATAAAGACATAGATGTATTAATATACACTGACTTCATTGATGATGATAGGGCGTCAACCAAATTACCGGCCCAGTTTGGTCCACCAGCCAGGTTCAGGGCTATGTTCCAGTTCACCCAACCAGACCCGTGATGGTTCACTACCTGCATAGGGAAAATGTATAAGAAAACGTAATTTCGCTCTGGTTTAAAAAGGCACGTAAGCAAACATTAGGACATATTTATTAGAAAACGTTTCGGTCCTGGCACCTTGATCACTTCAAACACAGAGAGATTAATATAACAGTATATATAGGCGGAGAGTGGGGTGTGAGTGACACAAAGTGACCCGACAAATGACATATTTGAGATAAGGTCAGGTAGACAATGGGATAATGTGACTCCTAAAAAAACATACACGGGCGGGATTTGAACCCGCGGTCAGAGAGTCTCAAAACTCGTGGTATGGTTTGTTTGCAATCGTGTCATTACGATTTCGTGAGTCATGTGACTCCTGTGTTGTTAGGTAGGTGGTGTTTTGCCTGGTTGAGTATTATGTATGCCAATGTTTTCGAAAATTTGTGGGTTCCAGGATTGTGTTCTATGGTGTCTGTGACGGCGATTAGCGAGGCTTCCAGACATCGTCAGCGTCTAAGTTCGGTGAGGACGAGTTGTGTCTTATTCCAAGTCATCAAACGTCCGGTGGAGTCCCTGTGGAGGAGAGGAACTCCATCCTGTGTGAAGTGCTACTCGAAAAACATTCAACGTGATGTAGTATAACTTGAAAACCATCCAGTGTGATGGAGTATGACGTGATGGAGTATGACTGGAAAATCCCATCCTACCTGCCAGGCATGTCAGACAACATACGTCTCACCCCAACCTCGTAAATTCCCACATAGTAACTGCCCACACAGTCTGGAACCTTACTTACGACAGAAGACTCTCTAACACGCCTGTATAATGACAGAAGACTCTAATACA